GTCGTCAGGTTTGAGCCCCGTGAGCTCACCTACTAGTTAAGGTTACGCTGAAATAGCCTCTCAAGGCACTCAGCTTAGGTAGGAAAAAGAAAAGGAGCGAGATCGGAGCTCTTGGTGTGAGCTTATTCAAAGTGATACCGGTATCTTGTCGAAACGAGCCTTCTAGACAACAGACTGGCCCATAGCTAGTCTAACGCACTGTTTCGACCGGCGTCACATCAAGCCAGACGTCAGCTGTGTTTTATTGGTGAACATACCTATTATTATTGTAGAAGATATAATTTCGGGATAATATTTGGAAACTTACCGGACCCATATCGAAATCCTGTTAATCTTGAAAATTACCGTATAATATTAGTTTAATTAACATTATTTAGGTACCTGAATAATGTTAATTGTTAATGTAAATGTTTAATTTTGGAAGAAACAAATAAGAAAATCTAAGATTAATAAAGCAACGACATTAAAATTGAATAACCCTTTTATTTGAATCGGCCTAAAACCTACCTCCCTGTTTTTTTATCTCTTGGTGCATTTGTTTCTTTGTTCATAACCTCAAAATAATGTAGCAGGTTAATTTTATGGCGTTTGTACAATACGCCATCTTTGTTTATACAGTAAGCACTTACAATTATCTAAAAATGTTAGATTAGATTGATTCCAGTCTGTAGTTATTTTAGAAGTTTGCCGTTCATGAATGGAGAGGGAGGTCGGCGACGGGTCGGCTCGGGTTGCCTAGCAACGCATCCCTCTCGACTCGAGTCACCGTTTGACCCTGGAGGTCGCTCATCCCGATGTCATTCCCCTACGAGTAGGCATTTGTATGCACGAGAACAAATCACTAAAACATTTGATCTTTTATTTTTTAAGTATCTTTCAAAAGTTCACTCTTATTGATTTAATTAGGAATATAAATAGTTAGGAGGTAGTAGATAATTTCGACATTATAGCGTTTCATGTTTCAATAAAAGGCAACACAAAAGTATTTTGTGTATAACGCCATCTATGATTAGTATGGATAAGCTTTAGAAAATAGGGCTAATGTTTTATGGTGTCTAATAAAATTTCGACAAATCAATGAATATTAGTTCAAATAGCTACTTACAGAGGGGGCATCAATCGCATTACTTCGTTTTAAGCATTTTGATAAATCAAAGTTTCACTCAACACCGTAGATTAAGCTTTTAACAATACAGTAAGTATGTTTAAAAATTGTCAAAACCCTTATTCATCATTTCTGAACCAAAAACCGAATTAGTTTTAAAGTAGTAAACTAGATGGCGCTGTTATCAATGACCTTTCAAAACAAAGATCATAATTTTATTAATATATTATGTGAGCTTTAATTAAATTTTTAGCATTATTTATATGCATATTATTACTAAGTTTAAAGTTAAATTTGTCTATACTAACACATAAGTACTATTTAGCTATTTATACACTAACACGACATGACGAGGTGGCCGAGTGGTTAAGGCGTTGGACTGCTAATCCAATGTGCTCTGCACGCGTGGGTTCGAATCCCATCCTCGTCGGTATTTTTTATAAATCTGAATCGATTTTAGACATACAGGATCGTAAATTAATACATATATGTCTAAAAAGTTTGTTTTAACAATTCTTCTATTATGGTAAAAATAAGAAACATCTCTCTGATTCTAATTAACATAATTAATTGGAAAGTCGATTTTTATCTACTGCGTATTCACACAGAAGGCATTAAATAAAAAGTGGACTAGACCTCTAGTAGTCCACCGTATGGTTCAAAAATGATTTAGTGGTCGCATTACAAGAACAATTGACAGTTTAGAAAACATAGGTAATTAATTATAAACGTTGAAGGATTTTTTTTTCAGTAGACAGAGCTTCAAGAGCTGTCTGTACCTCTGTAAAAGTGCGACAACTCATCGAGAGAAAACTCAAGTTGTTTGGCGACCGACTTTTGTGTCTTAAATACCTAGATGAAGAACTCACGGATCTAAATTAAAAATAATTGAAAGTTAAAATATAAAACGTCATAAAAAAAAATTAATGGCGAGTCTTATCTATACCTTAACGCTTTGTCGATTTAATTTTAATTTAATCCTGTATTATTGAACATTTTGTACAACACTAGCCCGACTCTACTCCTTCTATCCCATATTATGTAAGCTGTAATGAAAAACCTTCGTACGCCTTTAAATTAATATAATGCAAGAAGTAAATATTATCACATCTGGTATAGTTAAAATGTATGCATTATCCATCCGGTGCACAGGTATGAGAAATGTAAAGTTCACATTTTCAGTAACGTTCAAAGTAATTTTACTAGTAGGGCGACAACAATTTTAACTTAATCACAATTGTTCAGCTTGTTTGTTTTTAAACTATTTTTTTTTTATTGATTAGAAGTCATTGTTCATCACGTAGGTACATCACATTAATCACGTATTTTTTTTTTCTATACATTTTTTTTTTACAATATAACAAATTTTTCTTACAATATCACGTTTTGTAAGATGAAGCGGGTGTGTTTGTTGGTTAGTTTGAGAGTTTGTGACGTTCTTAAGTCGTTAGAACGCAATCGAACCTGATGAAATTATGCAAACAGGATACCATTCATAAAGAAAAGTACTATTCCGGGTCAAGTTACAGTTAAAAGCTAGTTTTTTTTTTTATTGCTTATATGGGTGAACGGGCTCACAGCCCACCTGGTGTTAAGTGGTCACTGGAGCCCATAGACATCTACAACGTAAATGCGTCACCCACCTTGAGATATAAGTTCTAAGGTCTCAGTATAGTTACAACGGCTGCCCCACCCTTCAAGCCGAAACGCATTACTGCTTCACGGCCGAAATAGGCGGGGTGGTGGTACCTACCCGTGTGTACTCATCAGAGGTCCTACGACCAGTGAAATTATAATGTTAATACGGAATCCTTGGTGCATTGTCGTAAATCCGCATTTATTTCGAATGTCTCAGCACAGTTTTCACGTTAATCAGCCGTTATCGTTGTAATCGCCAGCAAAAACAGATACGGACGGCTCTAGCTCGTATGGCTATCATTCGTTACAAATTTATCTAGACCTGCTTTCATTATCTTATCGTAGATATACCTGGCACCCTTTATTTTACAAGTTGGCTATGTGTTGGGCGCGTCCGGACCGAATGAGGCCCTTACAAGAGTTGCGAGTTTTTTATTCATAAACAAATAACGGAGGAGAAAATTTGTGTTTTCATTTTACGTTTGTGAATGATAAACGTGTTTAGTGTACCGTTTTAAAGAGGTTTAAGTGCGGAGTTTTCTCGAATGTAAGTCCAATTTCATTTGTAATATCGTTGTATTATCTTTGCATCGCGAAAGCTTAGAAGTTGATTTGTTATTATTGTTGAGTTTCAAACGAAAAGGAGCTCAAGCCGGTATGCCGTTTACGTTTTGTACAAAAGTCACATGTAGCCCAATTACCGAAGTAGATCAAGGTCAACAAACAAGTGCGTGAATTAACCAGACATAATTTAAGCAAATACAATGTTAAGTACATTGTATCAAGACATTTAATCAATGATCAGTATTCTTTTCTCGCTTACATTTAGTAATCTTAAAATTAAGATTTTGTTAATAGTACCTACTTAGAAAAAAAATTAGTCACTGGGTTCTCGGTTAGTAGATATGGTCGACGTTCGGTAATCTTCGACAAAGACGGATATAATAAACAATAAAAAAAAATCTGCACTTCAGATTTTTAATTCGCTGTGCTCTTTCAATAACATTTTGATGGTGTTTAACTTAGTCAAATTTTCTACGTTCATAGTTGGAATTGTATCTTTTGAGCCCTTATCAAAACTAGAGCATGCAAATATACATAAACCAATGTCCCAATTCTAATTCGATAACGATTACTTTATTCTAACGCTTCGGCGTGGTTCTTTTTAATCAACGACATTGCAACATTCTATTGGTCATATTATGTTTATAAAATAGCGTTTAAATGATTGAAATTTGTTTGTACTTAACGCTATAAAATATACAATGTATTTATTTATATTCTTTTAATCTTATTTATAAGTCCTAAAGTAACTGTTAAAACTGAGACCTTAGAACTATTGTCTCAAGGTAGGTGGCGGCCTTTACTTTGTAGGTGTCTACGGGCTTCGGTACCCACTTACACCAGCTGGGGCGTGAGCTTGTACACAATCTAATCAATAATAAAAAAAGCTAAACAGTACCAATTAGTAGGCAACAATTCACAAATGTGTAGAAGGCGCTTCGACCGCTCCCTGTAACTAGTAGGTACCTGTAACATAATTGATAAAATATCACGAATGCCTTTTGTAATTCGTCATCGATATAGATAACATTTAATATGAATGCGAGAGAATTGTTTCAGAGGTGCTAAACAAATCTATATTCTTAATTTAAATTATGTTTAGTATTAAATGCCTTACATTCACGAAACTTTACAAAGCTACAGATGCGTTTTGATAGTATACCAAGAATTCACGGGTACATATCCAATTAGTAAGGGTTATTATAACGCGATTTAACGTTTTTATGTAAATATCAATATTGCTCGTCACGATCACGATCGCCGAAACTCATTGAGAAAAATGTTCAACAACAACAATGATAATATTATGTTTAAAAATTTAATATCACTGTTGCTTCATATAAGCCGTTCCTGTATTATTCAAAAATCGATCACTGAAACCCTGAATTAAGTTTTTTTATTTCTTTTATTGCTTTTTATGGATGGACGAACTCACAGCCCACCTGGTGTAAAGTGGTTACTGGAGCCCATAGACATCTATAACGTAAATGCGCCACCCACCTTGAGATATAAGTTCTAAGGTCTCAGTATAGTTACAACAGCTACCCCACCCTTCAAACCAAAACGCATTGCTGCTTCACGGCAGAAATAGGCGGGGTGGTGGTACCTACAAGTGCAGACTCACAAGAGGTCCTACCACCATTAAAGAATTTAATTAAAATTTCGTTTTTATTTTTTTCCAGAGATCATCACGATGTATTGGCTACCATTCTTTATGGTAGCTGTTGTGGGTATTACCCACGGACAACTAACAGCGCAGTCGAGTATCGCACCAGAGCTACGGGAATGCTATTTTGATCCCATACTGTTAAACAGAAACAATCTCCCTCCGACCACAATTCCTGTTCTCATTGACATCATTCGTAGAATCGAAGATAATCCTGATGTGAACATGGATTTAAGACAACTGTCCGCGTTACTTCTTCACACGTAAGTACTCCAGTCAAGCAATAGTTTAATTATTCATTTTTAAAACTATTATTAGTTTATTATAAAAGAACAACTTAAATATATGAATTCTAAAATAAATAAAAAATATAGCCTGTCAGTGTCGGGATGACATAAGGATTCTTATGATACTTTATACACCTAAACTTGTTGAGGTATTTAGAAGTGTGGTTTAAAAAACAAACTCTCATACAGTAAAACCACGGTAAAACTCAGAAGATTACAGTACTTTTTTGGACATTGGTGTTGAAAATTTTTTACAAGCTAATAGTCTGCTGGTTGAAATAATACTCAACATCCCTTTAATAGCGTCTGTAAACATTGTTGTTTGATCTTATCCCAATTTTGTAAAAAGTATGTTTTTAATCACAGAATTTCACCTTTTATCGCTATGTTATAGTCCTATTTTTTGCTGTACCTTCTTGCTTTTTGGTTTGGAAATCATTTATTCATTTAGTGGTACCTAAATTACCATAGATACGCTAATTAAGGACTACTTATTTAAATTTAATAAACATTGTTATAGTAGTAGAAAATTTAAAATTGCAGGTACCGCCAAGATGGTATAGAATTTCACCAGCCGGAAGGTAATTTAGCCATATCTTCGAATGTAATACCGTTTGCACCAACCTTCCACTCCTTTCACCGTCACAGGCTGCTACTAACAAGACTCATACCTAGTAATTTGCAGACACTTGGAAATACAACCGTTAATTCAGTGCTCAAGGTGGGTTTGTTTTAGAAAAAATTATATTACCGATTAAGGATCGAATATATACATCTGTGTGTATTAAACTGAATTAAATAGAAGCAGTGAGTAAAAGCGTTAGGTATTATATGTATTTTACGACTTATAAAAAATCTTCTACTTTTACTTGCCCTTATCCCACTTTTTTAATTTTTATTTCTTGATGTGTAGACGAGCTCACAGCCCACCTGGTGTTAAGTGGTTACTGGAGCCCGTAGACATCTACTATGTAAATGCACTCATAAATGCGCCACCCGCTTTGAGATATAAGTTCTAAGGTCTCAGTATAGTTACAACGGCTGCCCCATCCTTCAAACCGAAACGCATTACTGCTTCACGGCAGAAATAGGCAGGGCGGTGGTACCTACCCGTGCAGATTCGCAAGAGGTTCTACCATCAGTAAAATATCACATAATGTAGGCAGCGGCTTGGCTCTGCCCCTGGTATTGCTGAGGTCTATGGGTAATGGTAACCACTCACCATCAGGTGTTGGCCACACCACAAGGGCAATAGCAAAAAAAATATAAAAAAAACATCTGGGGTCGGTGTAATATGTCCTCTTTTCGTGCTGCACCAGGATTTGGCATGAGTCGTCTGGTCCATTGCCATAATTTTGCAATTAATATAAACGATTCCACATAATTATTAAACACTTTTTCAGTGCACTCTACATCACATGTTGTCGACAACCGTTGACGCAAGACTGAGAGGAGATGAAAGCAATTGTAACCAGTTGTCACAGTATCGTGCGCTAAGAACAGGACGATCAATTAGCGATGACGTTGAAATTTTAGATATTTCCGTACTGTGAGTGTAAACTTTCGTAATTCATCATTAGCTCACCGTCGTCCACTGCTGGACATAGGTCTCTCCCAATCCACACCACTGAACACAGTCTTCAGCTCTCCCCATCTATTTCTTACCGACTACCCTTTGAAGGTCACCGCATCACCTTTTTTTTATTTTATTTTTTAACGCTGTGAAATCCATTTACGGATACCCGGTCAAGGGGGATAAGAGACCGGGTTATGTCGGACTCCGGCGCCTCCAGAGAAGAACAGGGAGAAGAAGAAGACAGGATTATTTAATTATTTAAAACTCAAACACATCTTTCCGTTGATTAGTTAAGGATTAAAATAATAGTACAAATAGACGAGACTCTTTGTATTCTAAATTAATTATCATTAACATTTAAAAAATAATGCATTTATTGAAATAAATAATAATTTAATAAACACTTTTCTTTTCAGAAAAACGAATGATAAAAATGGTCAAATGCGGAATTTTGATCCAAACAGTGACGTTGAGTACACTAGTAATTACGGTAGTATTAAATCTGAACGCCAATTACTCGGAGAAAGTCAATGCCCACTATTAGATGGAGTGATTTTCTCCCAATGGGGAGCTGTGTCAGGGGGAAACCTCATAGCTGGTATTGCGGCAGGTGCTCAACCACAACAGGTTCCTGTTCTTGAACTTGCAAAAGGATCTGTTTTAAATTATCCGAATGTCCAACAAACTGTGACTTCACTGTATCCAGCAACACTCTCAGGTAGATAGACAAGGAATTGTAAAATATGTTAAAGATTACAAACCTACTATTTATTTTAATTTAAAAATGTTGGTTTTTGTCCATACCATACAACCAGCAAATACATTTTATCCTACAAAGAAATAAAAACAAAAGATAAAGTCAGATACAATTATAATCGTAGTAATTATATGGATAGATATTTAAAAAAAAATTAAACTGCTTCATAGCAGGAAACGGGAATAACAAAATGCCTTTTCGACTTTTCCATATTATATACTTAGTTCAAGTTGCAGTTATCTTTGGTGTTCTATTGGGGGTTGTGTGAGTGAGAAGACAACAATAAATTATAAATTTCATCAAATTTCTCGCATCCCATGTTACCTTATTTAACATTTTTTTCAGGCGATTTGGCTGAGGCTATTCTTATTCAAGGAACTGAAAGAGGCAGTTCATCAATTTCGATCGGTACAGCAGGAAACTGGAATAGCACTCAAGCGCCTAGACACTTCATGATTCACAGCCGTGTCAACATAGAAATGACCGATCCAGAAATCAGAGGAGGCATCGATGGCTTTGTTCTCGGCAGTGCAATAACCTCAGTTTTAGGAACTTTTAGTTCTTTGAGACTGTCGCAGCTGTTGGACATGTATTATTCACCGCGGGTAAATAAAAAAAAACACAGCGTTCTTAAAATCAATCTGTTCGCATTGTTTTAATAACTGAATATATTAATTATTTATTATCTACAGAATGGGATATTTAGTCAAGCTCTTCGTGCATGTAACCGTCGCGAATTGAGTCAAACGCATATCACAAACCAAAATTTAGCTGGGGAAACTTTTGCGTTTGCTGCCGCTCTTGATACGAACATGCCACTTAGAGGAACTATAATGGGTGGTCTCGAGCAACTAGTGAACAGCGCAGTCACCAATTTCCAAACATATTCTAGTAAGATTTTAAATTATACTAATGTTTAATTACGATTATTCTTTATTAATGTTATTTATATTTTATTTTAGCTAGCAATTTGAACGACTTAAGCTGTGTTACCTCAATAGCAACGAGCCTGGATTACAGATTAAAAACGAATTTGTATATAGTTCTTGACTCATCATGGCCGTACCAAGCAGTGTATCCGGCCATTGCATATTTAGTGGATTCAATAGAAGTAGACAAATTCGGATCGAGCATCACCCTGCTCAATGCGTTTGATGGTAGTGTTGTTGTCAACACAACCTTCTCGCAAGTTGAATTCCATTCTAATTACACTTTAGCGGCACATCAATCAAGTGAGTATGAAAGAAAAAAATGCGATTTTAATTGTTAATTAACCGACCACAAAAAATTATATTTAATTTCACTTTTATTTTAGTGCTCAATGGAGTAAATCTGCAAACTAGTCTGACAAACATCAGAATAATGATGCAAGACCAACTTCGTAATGAAAGCGCCAGAAATTACGTAGGAGGAAATTCAACTGTAGTGTTGTATCTCATCAATACCGGTCATCTACAGAACAATGAAATAGTTTTTGAACAAGCCCGACTTCTTAATGAAACAGTTCCGGGTAATTATTTTTGTTAACGATTTAGCGAAATGAGCTTAGGTCCTATCTGATTTTAGTCGGTTACCGTAAATACCTTTCTTATTGGTGACAGAGGGTTTTGTGAGTCCGCACAAGTAGGTACCACCACCATGCCTATTTACGCCGTGAAGCAGTAATGCGATTCAATTAATGGTAGGCAGCAGCTTGGCTTTGCCCCCGACATTGCTGATGTCCATGAGGGACGGTGACCACTTACCATCAGGTATGTCATCAGGTCAGGGCCGTATGCTCGTCTTTTATTATTATTTTTTGTTGCTTAGATGGGTGGACGAGCTCACAGCCCACCTGGTGTTAAGTGGTTACTGGAGCCCATAGACATCTACAAAGTAAATACGCCACCCACCTTGAGATATAAGTTCTAAGGACTCAGCATAATTACAACGGCTGCCCCATCCTTCAAACCGAAACGCATTACTGCTTCACGGCAGAAATAGGCAGGGCGGTGGTACCTACTCGCGCGGACTCACAAGAGGTCCTACCACCAGTGATGCCTACAAAGGCAATAAAAAAAATCTATATTGGAAAATACATGAAGATTATTACGTTAGCAGTAATCGTATCTGCTAAATTACGACTATTGCGACTAAGATCCTTTGACTACTTAGTTACTTTATTTAAAAAAGGCCTACAGTCATGATCACTGATAAATCTTTTTTTGTTGAATTTAGATTTGAGGCTACTTTTTGCGACTGCTACGAATCAGTTCGATAACATATGGAATTTGGTGCGTGATATTCACAACGACATCAGGGCGGTATCTCTGGCTACAACAGGCACAAACGTACCAATAGTCATGAGCCCAGTCCTGGAAAGAATTCAGTCAGGTAAGGATTTACTGTTGTTTTTTAGCGTGCAATTCATTATTTTAACCAAAAGTTGTATCGTAAAATTGTAGTTTATAAATAATTGTAGGTTATACCTAAAATGTAATTTTATGTGTGCGTCTTGTGAAGTTAATAACAAATGCGTTTTCACATTACAACTAATTTAAAAACGAACATAAAAATAAGTTAATTTAAACAAAACATTATTTTATTATTGCAGTTGGAAGAAGAATTGTGAATCCCCTTTGTGGTTCACAGTTTGTTGATCAATTGTCAGGCACGAGACAGTTTGACGACTTCGTGGAACCTGGTTATATTAATTTCTACACCGTTAGTCCCAATTACTTTTATGTACACAATGATAACAGAAGAATCAGAATTTCTCGAAGTGCGAGTGGGGCTGGAAGTCTTGTTGTGTGTCATTCAAGAGTTGTTGCTCAACCAAGGTATATTTAAGTGTATTAGTAATTAGTATTATGTGTTCGTGCAAATATATACATATAATTTAAAACTCATATAAACATACGTATCTATGTATATTTTAATTCAGTTATTCCGTGAACGTAGTTAAGTATTCCTTATATTTCTATAACTTTATCTTAATTGTTTTTTTTTTTTTTGCTTAGATGGGTGGACGAGTTCACAGCCCACCCAGGTGTTAAGTGGTTACTGGAGCCCATAGACATCCACAACGTAAATGCGCCACCCACCCTGAGATACAAGTTCTAAGGTCTCAAGTATAGTAACGACGGCTGCCCCACCCTTCAAACCGAAACGCATTACTGCTTCACGGCAGAAATAGGCAGGGTGGTGGTACCCACCCGCGCGGACTCACAAGAGGTCCTACCACCAGTAAAAATTGCAAAAGATGGGTACACAAGTTCATGCTCCACCCGGTTTTAAGAGTTTATGAGAGACCATCGTAATACCGTTAACCTTGATAGTGAATTTGAAAATATTTTATTTTTAACTTTTTATCTCGTTTATTAACAAAAAGTCAAATCAAAATAATTTAACATAACTCAACCCACACAGTAGAACAGATCTTCCAACGCGCTTGAAGGAGGCACAGTCCCCAAGATACTGGCTACGTTGCCTCGTTGGACAGCCAGACTCACTCTCTGTGCAGAGTACCAGCCAGCCTTAGCATCATGTGTAACCTCCTTCAAGCGTTTGGAGATTTCTGTTAAAAATTTCTTTGCTTCAGGGCCCCAAGGGCCCATCGTCTCAACCGCGAAAGGCAAAAAAGAATAAGATGACCCCAAACCCGAATACTTCCGCTTTTTTGTAATTTCTGCTGAAGCTGCAGCTGAACCGGGGCGGGACGAAGTACCATCTAAATGACAGGGAGCCATAGTATCCACACAAGTAGCATCCCATACCAGGCACCTACCAACTGACCATGGAATCAGCGTGACTCCATCGGGCCTTTTCCCATCTGACCTCAAAATAAACCTGATAGTTAAATAGAAATTTCAAAGGAGCGGCCGACAATATTATCACGCTCCTGGACACTCTTTCTGGGGTCAATGTAGGAATGCAGGCAAAAAAGTATTAATGCTCTTGGTATTTAGAGTTTACAATTGATCACGATACACAACACAGCTCACGGGTTAATTACGGTAAACTCAGTAATAACAGGACAGTGGACAGTGCTTGCCAATTTTATTCCATTCTTCCCTATCTAGACTCTGTATACGTTTACAAAGTTTTGTGACGTACAGGACAGTAAATATTGTACTCGTAAATGTAATTGTAGTACCTAAAAGTGCGGGCTCACAAATCCGTTCCTACACCAGTAAATGCCGGTAGGCGATCGCATTGGAAAAACCTGCTCTAAAAACGCTGTTGCCACGGGAAAAGGATGGTATTATTCGAGACACCCTTAAAAATTATTTGACTTCCAGACGCAACACAACAATAGTAGGACTTGATCCAAGCGCAATAACTTGTGAGAATTTGGCTTCCACCGGAAATATTGAAATAAGGCTGCAGAATGCTTGCGACAGTTTTTGGACCATAGGATCATGTCCTCCACTACACATTTCCGTACAATCAGAAACTGGTGCTGTTGATGCCACAAGCGCGATTTGCACAGGTATGATTTACATCCAAAATGATATGGGTATTTCACTAATATTAAAAATAGTTATAAATGTCACTTTTTTAATTGAGTACCTAGTAAGGGTTGACTAATAAGAGATTCTTAGATACCTATCATTCAAATTATGTGTTTTATCCTCTTACACCTTTTTGAACAAATTTCACATAACGAAATGGTCATTCTTAATGGACTGTTTTTTTTAGATGCTTCGGTATGCAGATTCCCATACAACATCAGATATCAAGTCCAAATTGAAGACCTGGGGTGTTTTAGTGGAGCATCAAGTCTAGGAGCCAGCCTCGCAATTATTCTGACTTCTTTGTATCTCGCAATATTCTAACTGCGGGTATTAAATTTGGAGGAGCGTTATTTTTTCCTACCGATAGTAATAGTACCAACCTACTTTTAACACAAAACAAATCTATAAGTTATCGTTCATTTTGAATATCGTATTTTGTTTCATACACGTGTAGTTTAAGATTTCCAATTTACAATAAGATTGTACAAAAAGCGTGGCGGAGCCTATTGAGTATAAAACATTAAATATTATAATATATATTATAAAAACCAGATATAACAGGGTTTATTGTACTTATTTTATACAAGATATAGTTTCCATATATAATACATTAAGTATAAACGTAGACTTTAAGCAATTTTCGTGTTTTTTTATAAATTAAATCTACTGTAACAAATAGCCTTTGTATTATTTTTTATTCTATATATGTTATTAGTTCTGAGTTATTTGGCAGGTGAGCTCGCGGGGCTCAACTTGAGTGTGCTAACACTGACCGTAGCAAGAAACACGAAGTACAAACACATCACTAAATCAATGGCCCCATTCATGAAACCGGAAGGCATTACCTACTACTTCGTCATAGATAATGCACTTATTATGTTTATTACTTCGTTAGAGAAATAGGCAGGGTGAAATTCCACAAGACGATCTGGGTCGTTTTCAAATTTGAGGCCAAACTATCGTATAGCTATCGTATCGTAAACCAAGTATTGTATTAATGTTATCTTATAACATTGTGTCGTAATATCAAAAATTATATGAAGCGAAATGAGACATTAATCGATTGGAATTAATTTCCATCTTCTTTTTCACCGTTCTCTCACCGCTGAGGATCGCGACCACATGTGATTTTCCTCCACAGTGTTTGATCATGGGTGGCATGGACCGCATGATATAGACTACCACCAACCAGATCTGACCATCTGGCTGGCGTTCTGCCTACGACGCGCAAAAAAAAAGAAGGTATTGCGATTTAGACTATTTATTTATCAAATTTGATCTAACGCTTTTTAAACCTTTTTATTTTTAATTAAGCACGGTCATCCGGCCCCAATTTAGGATTCCCTGTGTTACGGGTACCAGAGACTACTAACATACTTATATACGTTCAAATATATACATATGTATATAGATAATAAACTCCCAAACAAAGAGCAAACAAACTGTTCATCACGCAATGTTTGCTCGATGTGGGAATCTAACACACAACCCTCGGCGCAACAATCAAGGCCGCTAGGTACTGTACCTCCGAGTCAGTCCTAAACAGTCCAATATGTCATGCAGTTCAACTGACGCACAGGGTACATCTGTAAAATACGTTTACGGTTGCTGTTACACTAATGTTATGAATTAACCCACCAACGCCATCTAGTTTCTTTTTGTTAACTTTAAGCCAATATTCCCCGGATTAAAAAACTCATGGGATGATTATTCATTCATTAATTGCGTGGATGTAATTCAGAGTTTATACGAACATTACGTCGAAGATTACTCTTTAAATTAAATCTTTATCAGTATAGGCTATTTCCTTTTACCGCAACAATTAGAAAAGTCAGTCTGTCAAAGCTGTCACTGCCACTTCAAAATCTCACCTGATTATGTTTTTAAAAATAGTAAACAAGTCGAGCATTGTAAATGTACACATTTAATTTTCAATAGTTACCTTAAATATTTACCATAAACATTAAAACGCATACATTATGTCCGGTGAAGACTGTGATGGTATGGACCGTGGGGATAACGATGGTCCAAAATCCGATAAAATGTTCACATTGAAAAAATGGAATGCTGTTGCAATGTGGAGTTGGGATGTTGAATGTGATACTTGCGCTATTTGCCGCGTGCAAGTAATGGGTAAGTTTTTAATTATTTATGTTGTTTATGAATCAATTCATAGATATTCATCAAAGTGATAGTGAGTCAAATTTATTTAACAAATTAATTGCTTGGACAAGATGACAGTTATTTTCCAGATTAGAATATATAGAACTATTAAAGAAAATATTACTACCCTACTATAATCATATTACAAGTAATATTTAGTGTGCTGTGCCGATCATAATTAGAACTAGATTTTGAGCACTATGTTTTCTTAAAAGTATTTTATTTTTATTTTAAGTTAAGATGAATGTTGCCAATTAGCATTGAGAGTCATTACTTTTTTTTTAAATGATTACATTATTTAGGTATAGAATATAATTACTAATATATTAAACAAAACAGTAGTAATATTGTTCTATCAATGTTATATATTTGGATTTTAAAAATTAAAAATGTTGTGTGCGTGTGAATTATTCTCAAACTATTTAATTACGCTTTAAATTTAAGGCCACAATTAAGGCATTTTAGTTTAAATTTCATTATATTACATTGAAATAATCCTGTTTATTAATCCATCAATCTGTTAAAGAATTGTAAAGAATACTGACTTAAACATAAATATTATTTTGCCGTAGTAAAAGCAGAATCGATTGATCATACTTTCTTTAATTCTAATAATTCTCTCTTAATACAACATAATATAACATAATAACACCTAGGTCCTGGGTCCTGTCCTGGTTCTGGGTGGGCTATATACTTTTGAACATTACCAATATGTCTCATTTAACTTGAACTGTTTACTAACTTCCATGAATGGAAACGTAGTTATACTTACAATTCATATCAATATGTGTGCTTGTCAAATTAAACAAATAAATAATAATAGTCATTGGACCAACAAATCAATATGTTTGAAAGCTGTTCAATATAGATTTCATGTGGTCTGGCCTCCCTTGTTGTGTAAAAATAATAGTGTTAGTACTAAATTTTGAAATTGCAGGTACATATAACTATTCATAGGCACAATTCGATTAAAAGAGATTAGTACAGTGCCTTCAATGTAATGATTCTGTGAATTGTAATGGTTCGAATTATAATTTAAGGATGTGACTCTCTTTCCATTAAGTGAAATTTATTCTTTAGATCTTACCATTTATTTTCATATTAAAGTTTTAAATAATCATTTTTTATTACAAATAATAAAAGTAACTAAATAAGTNCTATTCATAGGCACAATTCGATTAAAAGAGATTAGTACAGTGCCTTCAATGTAATGATTCTGTGAATTGTAATGGTTCGAATTATAATTTAAGGATGTGACTCTCTTTCCATTAAGTGAAATTTATTCTTTAGATCTTACCATTTATTTTCATATTAAAGTTTTAAATAATCATTTTTTATTACAAATAATAAAAGTAACTAAATAAGTAACTTATGATTTTAACTTTACGGCATAGATTAAACTTTTATTTATTTATTTTTTATTGCTTAGATTGGTGGACGAGCTCACAGCCCACCTGGTGTTAAGTGGTTACTGGAGCCCATAGACATCCACAACGTAAATGCGCCACCCACCTTGAGATATAAGTTCTAAGGTCTCAGTATAGTTACAACGGCTGCCCCACCCTTCGATCCGAAACGCATTACTGCTTCACGCTGGAAAATAGGCGGGGTGGTGGTACCTACCCGTGCGGACTCCCAAGAGGTCCTACCACCAGTGAAAACTCTGTCATAAGATTGCCAAAAAGCTTAGTATTTTACATTAAGTAATGTATGATACAAACTACAAAATAAAATCATTATAAATAGTTACTAAATGTAATAATTTCCCAATAAAAACTACTAAAATACTTTGGCATTCATGTCATAAATTATAATCCTCGTAAAGTCTACCTGCCAATAGAACCAGTTACAACAACTAAGTATGATACCATTGTACTATTAGATATAAGATTTTTTTATAGAAATCTTTTTCTACACAATGTTTTTACTGCCTAAAAATTGTGAAAAGAATATAGGAAAAGTTATTAATTGCTACTTTAAAGCTAATTTTATTCAATTAATAAATGCTTAAAACATCTTCTTAGCATCCGTTTGGCAAAGGCTTAATGTTTGCTATCGAGCTTAGTCGACGAGTTCTGGGTTTCTCTTCTCTACCGGTTATTTTATTTTCGATTTGATCAAGGCTTTTGCCTCTCGTTTCTGGTACGCAAACAATAACAAAGAATAAGCCTACAAAACAAATACTCCCGAACAGCCAAAACGTGCCCGCCGCGCTGATCGCATCAACAATGTTCTGAAATGTTTTTGTTACAATAAATGTACATAGCCAGTTAAATGCCGTGCAGATGGAAGCCGCGCTACCTCGAATCTTTGCTGGCAAAATTTCACCCATCATTAACCATGGTATTGGTCCGAAAGCCAGTGAGAATCCTAACAAGTATATCATAACGGTAGTCAGTGGTAACCAACCCAAATCAGATACATCTAATTTTGCTTGGTATTTAACATAGAAGAATGTACCCAAAATAATTAAAGTAATAGTCATGGTCACTGAAGAGATATATAATAATAATTTTCGTCCAGCTCTATCTATTAGTGCTGTAGCGACAAAAGTGGAAGCGAAATTAACGATTCCTACAATAATTGCTGAAAGGTTTTCGTCCACAGAACTTCCTGACATTTGAAATATTGTCACAGTATAGAATATGACGGCATTTATACCAGAAAGCTGTTGGAAAGCCATCAAACCGAGAGAAATAAGTATCGCCTTCGTATATTTGATGCTAAAAAGATCTCGTATGCTTGCATTATCGGCTTGAGCCTCTGCGTCTGAAATTGCAATCTCTCGAATTTCACTCTCGATATCACAATTTTTCCCTCTAAGCCATTGTAGTGCTTTTCGAGCTTCTTCCATGCGACCATGCGAAATATACCATCGGGGTGTTTCCGGGATGATGAACATCAAAATAAAGAATGGAATGTTCATAGCAGCACCCAGAAATGCAAGCGCGGACCAGTCCAAATATGTGCCAGCTAGGTAACAAATTAATATACCTATGTTACCAATTGCTGTAGGGAATAGTCCTAAAGTTCCTCGGACTTCTGGTTGGATTGTTTCTCCTAAATAAACCGGAAAGGCTAAAGATCCCACACCAACACATAATCCACAAATAGCACGCCCGACAAAAACCAATTCGACAACGTGTGCTATGGCTATAACTATCCATCCCACGCAGAATGGCGGAGCTATAAGTAGTATAGTTCTACGCCTTCCTAAATAATCCACCAAGGGTCCACCGATCACTCCACCTGCGAGTGCCGCCAAAGGCATCAAGCTTCCAATCCAACTAGCCTGCAAAAAAATAGTTTAAGTAGATTTATGGATAAATATTTGTTTGTAATCAATTAAATTACCGACAAAATAAAATATACTTGCCTGTTCTTTACTAACTGATATAACAGTGCTATTCTTCATTGTAACAAGACCAGTTGAAGTGTAACCTGACGAGAATCCTATAATCATGGAGCCCATCGATACAGCAATAGCAGCTAAAACCTGGAAATAAAATAAAATTAAGTAATTTTATTATACTTTCACAAGACACTTAACCATAGTCCTGTTCTAATCTTTTTTTTTTGCTTAGATGAGTGAACGAGCTCACAGCCCACCTGGTGTTAAGTGGTTACTGGAGCCCGTAGACATCTACAACGTAAATGCGCCACGCACCCTGAGATATAAGTTGTAAGGTCTCAGTATAGTTACAACGGCTGCCCCACCCTTCAAACCGAAACGCATTACTGCTTCACGGCTGAAATAGGCAGGGTTGTGGTACCTACCCGTGCGGACTCACAAGAGGTCCTACCACCAGTAAATCATAAAATTCGCGTACGAAAACCTGCCTAAAACGGAAAATAATGCGTTTTTCATTGTAAATTAATCGTTGAAAGTGACATCTTCCTACAAAAAGGGGTGTGCTATGAAAGGCGAAACGCTCATCATTAATTTAAACAATCATCGTGGACATCCACATTGATTGTGTCCACTTAGTGAGACAGGCGCAGAACTTAGTTTTAGATATTTTTGTTTTGTTAAAATAAGCAGAGAACTTAGGTAAACTTTAAATTGAGTTACTGTATTTTTTTTATTTTGAATAAATTCCGGATAATTTAATGTATTAAAGGTGGCGCAGTATGTCCTCCTTTTTTATTTATCGTATCATGCTGCCTAAGTATTTGGAATGAGTTTTACGACCGGCCGCTTGTTTGACGTTAACCGTCCTTAGGAATGCTACCGTTGGCATGAGACGTTAGGCTGAAAAGGTCTATTAATCGCCCTTTACGACAACCATGGGAAGATATAGGCCGGTCGAGCTCTAAACCAAGAACCTTTACTGGTGGTAAGACCTCTAGTGAATCCGCGCGGGTAGGGACCACCGCCTTGCCTATTTCTGCCGTGAAGCAGTAATGCGTTTCGGTTTAAAGGGTGGGGCAGCCGTTGTAACTTTAGTGAGATCTTAGAACTTATATCTCAAGGTGAGTGGCGCATTTACGCTGTAGATGTCCATGGGCTCCAGTAACCACTTAACACCAGGTGGGCTGTGAGCTCGTCCACCCATCTAAGCAATAAAAAAACAAGTATTTTAAAATAAAGGAAAAATTATTTAAACAATTATCAACTTTAATTATCAGTTTCGGCATTGAGTTATCCGATATTATGAAAAAAATGTATTTTCTGTAAACGTCAATGACGGGATATTTTCGTTTATTTATCATATTAGTTATTAGAAGTATCAATAGTTATATTTTAACACCTTATACATACTATAATAAAATATGAATGTCATCATCATGTGGACTAAGTTACTTACAGAAATGTGCCACAAAGTGTTATTTCAATATTTCATAAAATTAGTTTTTTTATTTGATTTCGTACGTACGATCATGTTTGTCAATGTTTAGACTATTTTGATGTTTGTTTATTAAAATTGCAGGATCACCTTTTTTCAGTTTTGTTTTTTAAAGAATTTAAATAAAACTATAAACCAAAAGATTTACATCAAAAATAGATAAATCAGCTGGTTTATCACTTTCTTTCTTGCTACTTTTATTTTTTATTGGCCATAATAAGTGGACGAGCTCAGAGTCGATCGGACGCGAAAAGCATTGACCATCTTGAGATACTATAGGTAGTCGAAATTGTAATTACTGAGATCAAGTATCAGCCAACATAGGGCTCCCTTCAAAGTGTAATGTATGATTACTTCTCAGCAAAACAATACAGGATGGTAGAACTCATTAAATTCAACTGAATCAGTTATAATTTTTTTATAAAAATACACTGGAGGTAATGTATAGATCAAATTCGACTGAGGCGATTACATTATTCGTAGAGTTAACCAAAATTTAAATTACATGTCTATTAAAGATATGAACTCTAAACACAGTAAGTAGATTCAAACATGTTAATTGGACACAATTAGACGACGCAATGTTGTTCAAAGACACATGTTTGGTTTTATTATTGCATAGTAAAAGCAACTAATAACATAGATTATTATAGAAATTTTATTAAATGAAATTTATAGTCTTACCTGTGAAAAAGTGTACTTCGGTTCATATGCTCCGGTTACAGCGATGCTGTAATGGGTGTCCGCTCTCATTAGGATCTTCATTTTTATTATCTATAAAAAGCACTTCGAAAAAAAGTTCGACAAATCAAAGTTCATCACATCATTAAAATAACGTAACAGAGAACGGAGTCTGAAAGCGTTCGTTACATTCGCTGCTGAAGAAATGAACATCCTGCGACACGGTCAGTGCGATTTATATGGACAGAACTTAGACACAATTGACAAAACTGATTGGGTTTCGAGGCCATCATACTGAAACAATTTCTGTAAAAAAAAGCAACACTACACAATTACGAATACTAATAACGATGTGTTCTACAATAAATTATAACAAAAATAGTTTTGCAAATTAACGCTCATCATCAAATAACCGTTATTATTAGCAGTGTGAATTTTAATATTTAATTCTCAATTTTATTTGATACCGCTAATACATACAATACTCGTTTATGTATAAATATTTGAATAGAGGCTGCCATTAAAGTTTATCGATAAATCTTATCTATATATTAATACGTGAAGCAAAAACTTTGTATCCCTTTTTACGAAAATTGCGCGGACGGAGGAGTATGAAATTTTCCACACTTATAAAGAATATAGAGAAGAAGTGCACAATGCTAATATTTTTTTTAAATAATGCATAAAAGATACATTAAATCAATAAAGAAAACATTACACATACTACATACCATGTAGTTGACGCACACACGCATGCATATATTTATTGTCAAACTTTTGTTCTTGACGTCTGTGGTCAAATTGAGAATAGATTAAATATTGTTTGTCTTTATTAATATTTTTTTATAGTGTACCCTTGACGAAATTTGTGATTATAGAAGTATAAAATACAATCATAATAGTGTACAAACTTACAATTCCAATTAATTATAGTCGAATTTCGACTACTGCGGGACCTCTGGTTATTTTTAATTACAATTTTTTATAATGTACCTCTAAGTATAGTAGTTGCTAATGAATTATTGTATTATAAACAAATGACGATAAAAGTCATCGAAGAATAATTTGAATGTTTTGGAGTTTAATCAATGCGTTGTACGGATTGTAAATTGCGATTGAGAATTGGATATTAAATTTTATCTTAAGTATTTTCTTCGGTTTTCACGACTCGTAGGCATCATTAAGTCCCTTTTAATTTTGCGTTTGTTATTCTATTTTTTATAATATTCTTTAAATACCAAAGAGTGCCAATATGCAGACAACGGATAATTTAGGGATGTCCATATTTTGAATACTCTTCTGTATTAGAATAACTACTTCAAACTTTCGAGTCTTTGAAATGTTTGCAAGAAACAGATGATTTTCTCAGACCAAAACCAAGGTAGATACCTACACTCTGGCTTAAAGCGAAAGAAGAAGAAATAAAACACATCTTAAAGCTTTAGGAGAAATATTGTAATTATTATAAATGAGAAATATAGCCGCCCCGTATGTATCCACTAGAAACATTTTTGCATTGGCGCGTAACTGGAATAGCTCCTTAGCCTATCAGCAATTAGGCAGAAAAAATATATAAATCTACTTTTTGAAATTCATTCATTCATTCACTTGAATACTCACGCGCAACCTAACGCATGTTCATACTATTAGGTACTTAGGGAAGTAAGCTCCCGACCGACCAACAATGTAAATTCGTTACTTTACATTTGCGCTATATTTTATAGCACACTAAAGAAAATACATTTAAAATAGAATTAGAATACAAAAGTGACTTGCGGTCTTATCGTTCAAACCGATCTCTTTCGGGCAACGATTGAGTGTAAATAATGCTTATGTAACATAATAATAGCCAATTGCCGTGTATTTTGAGTAACAATAATACTTTTGTTGCCTAATTGAAATCTTTATGTTATATATGTAGTATTCCAATTCGAGATTTGTTAGTTTACTGGTGGTAGGACCTCATGTAAGTCCGCACGGGTAGGTACCACCACCCTTCCTATTTCTGTCGTGAAATATCTCAAGGTGGGTGGTGGCATTTACGTTGTAGATGTGTATGGGCTCCGGTAACCACTTAATACCAAGTGGGCTGTGAGCTCGTCCACTCATCTAAGCAACAAATTAAAAAAAGATGTAATTTTAAAACTATAATTTTACTACTTATTTTGAGTTGAAGCTATCTTCTGATACCTTGCTAGTTTTTACAAAGACAGATGTTATATGAATGCACTGAATAATTTTTCCATGTTTGTTCATAAAACGATTAAAGAGCATTAGCATCTGCTTGCAAAACAATATTTATCGATGCAGCCGTTAAAATCTCGAGTTCCACGTGTACCATTTAACTGTCAATCTGTTGCACGTATATAGTAATGGTACAGCATAGGTGTAGTATAGGTAAGCATAAGATCCGAATCTACACGAAAACTAGTCCTCAGTAGATGATGCTTTAATTTTCATGGACCTCATACCGGAAACATATATTCACACCTTTTTTGGGCTTGGATGTTGGGAGCGAACCACGGGCCCAAGGGATGGAATTTATAATAGCACTCTACCCAAAGCTTATTCACCCAAGATAACTTAATGTAAAGGAACGACTCCACCACCCGCCACCGAAGTGTCCTAGAGTCCTGGAATCCTATATCACCCGAATCCGAATCGCTCACTAATAAGGAAGATGACGCGATGAGGAAAGGAGGCTTTTGTGGATTAGACAGACGGTCGGTCTCGGTACCGAATTCTGCAAGTATGACCCGGTTTGAAAAATATTTTTCTAATTAAATTATTATTCAAAAGGCCTTCCTCGATGCAGAAATTACATCTTGTAATAAATAATACTAAACCCGTTGAATATATAATCTATATATATATAAAAATGAATTGCTGTTCGTTAGTCTCGCTTAAACTCGAGAACGGCTGGACCGATTTGGCTAATTTAGGTCTTGAATTATTTGTGAAAGTCCAGAGAAGGCTTAAAAGGTAGATAAATATAAGAATGCTCGGAATTAAATAAAAATAAAAAATTTGTTTTTCCTTTGATGTGTCCCCCGTCGGACGGATTCCTTTTGTTTGATTTAAGTTTATTTTATACAAAAGTTTAGGTCTTTTATTTATCGATTGAGGCACTACGAAGTCTGCCGGGTCAGCTAGTTTGGGATAAAATAGTTGGTTCTCTCTGCTGCAGCCGTACGTTCCTGTTTTAATACTAATAACTTCACAAACAATTCACTTCCCGTATCTATACAGTCTTTGGAATCATAACAATACATTGAGGAAATGTTTTCCGCTTAGGCTGTATCGTGCAATATTCTGAAAATATTCCTTCTTACGTTTTGATCAAATAGTATTATTGTTTTCGGTAACGAATTTGGTCATTGTAAATCAAACTACGATAAATCACCGCGTCATCTCAACAGGAGGTATTCATTGACATATAAGTGCAGTGCTAAGTTCCGTCAACTATTTGTTAATTTATTGAATATGCATGACATCATGCAGTCGCCTAGTCGCGCGCAAGACGGTTTAGTGATCTAAGCTCACAGCAGTCAATCCTTCTATGCTTGCGGAATCATGCCAGGACTCCCGTACAATAGAAACTTTAAATGTTTTTTCTATGCCAGTTTCAACCTTTGTTTCATTACCTTGTATAAGTATATTTCTGCTGTTAAAGCTAACCTTCGTAGTACAAATACCTAGTTATTTGTAAACGCGATAATGCCAACTTATTATCGGTCTTTTTTATTTATTGCTTCGTTGGATGGAAGAGCTCACAGCCCACCTGGTGTTAAGTGGTTACTGGAGCCCATAGACATCTACAACATAAATGCGCCACCCACCTCGAGATATAAGTTCTAAGGTCTCAGTATAGTTACAACGGCTACCCCACTCTTCGAACCGAAATGCATTACTGCTTCACGGCGGAAATAGGCGGGGTGGTGGTGCCTACCCGTGCGGACTCCCAAGAGGTCCTACCACCAGTGATTACGCAAATTATAATTTTGCGGGTTTGGTTTTTATTACACGATGTTATTCCTTCACCGTGGAAGTCAATCGTGAACATTTGTTGAGTACATATTTCATTAGAAAAATTGGTACCCGCCTGCGGGATTCGAACACCGGTGCATCGCTACATACGAATGCACCGGACGTCTTATCCTTTAGGCCACGACGACGACAAACGGTCTTGAAAACCTTTAGGATATTGCAGCAGACATTGCTGTTGATGCGAAAACTATAATTCACTATTAATAATGAATTTACTCAGATTGTTAGAAGTCATTAATTAATTAAACAAGTGTAAAAAAAACATAAATCAATGAAGAATTAATTAAAACTGCTTCAACGGCTTAATATCTCGCGTTTATTGTTTCCATTTTATTATTTCCGACTTTTTAAGTTGCAGTTTTCGTGGTCACGGACTAAGGTTTGTCTGTCGATATTTGAGTATTATTTTGCTAGCTACCTAAATTCCTAACAAATATTTCTCAAAACGTTTCTTGATTCTCAATAAATGATGAATCTAATAAAGGCATCCTCTAATCCGGCAAAGTTTTTCGAATTTGTTTATTTATTGTTATTGCATTGATAAGCGCGCGAGTTCTACCTGCCTTACCCGATTTTGAGTGTCAACGGAAACCTGTAAACTTCTGAGTGCGAATGCCGTCACCCACCTTGTGACGTGACTATTTTGCGGCAGAAATAAGAAGACAATGCCACCTAACCGTCCAAGCTCACCCTGAGCTCTATTACCGCAAGTAACTACGCTTTTTTTTAATACACCAGGTGCCTTCACATTTAACTTACGATGACTTCAAAATTTGACTTAGCAAATTTAATTTAATTTACATCATGATGTTTGTTTATTGTTGGAAATTGTTTATGCACAAAATTCGCTCAAGACATTCATAATGTCAATGTTAAACAGAATTCAGTTGACGTACAAAATATGTGTATCCAATCTTCTTGATAGAACCTAATACAAATTATGTAACAAACATAATAATATTATTATATTGTCTCGTATATTAATTTGTTAAACGAGTAGAAGTATTGTATCATCTTAATCATTTAAATTCTTGCTAAGTCCTGTGAATAATTAAAATAATTTTGTTAACACCAGAACTACAAAAATTAAATTAAGATTTAACTACTGATGCCGAAGTAAAAATCATTGTTATTATGACTTAAATAAAGAATTTAAGTAAATAAATTTTCATTAGACATTCTGAGAGATTGTAAATTTGAATAAAAGACATTTGTGTCAATAAATATTTTGTATAATTATTAAAAATATATCAATTCATTTTATATTTAATCCGTAATATACGAATTAAAATTTTGTTTGAAACATTAAACTAGGTATATACTAACTAATATAAACATATTTTTAATAACTAATTCACTTTAAATAAACATTTGGTCTAAAATTATCTAAGAATTGGTTGTCATGATCAAATAACAATGTTCAAAAGAAAAATGGAAGTTACTTGCACTAAAAATGATAATGTTTGCAATTACAATACTGACTAATTACATATCAATTGAAATGCACTCTTTACTTTACAAAAATCCTACAATTTACTAGTCATTCAAAATCAAAGCAATTCATCTCCACGATGAAAAATATTATTGCACTGAGAAATATATGACATTTTACAATGTTCAGCATTAAATTTGTAAAACAGATCAAGCAAAAAAGGAACTAGAAAAATATCATGCACCACATGATGGTGTTAATATAGCTACAATAAATCTAAAGGAACATGATATTTAAAATAAATCTACCTAATTTCTACATAATAATATTTACAATTTTTAAATCTACGTTTATTTTCCCAATCAGTCTTCAGTCTGCACTGCGATCTCAGTACATAGTCTTACATGCCTTGCAATTACCAAATTCTTAAAGGTACATCGTACACTAGATCCAAGGTCTTTCCTCTGGGAATGTACTCTTAAATGTAACAAAAAAAGCTCATTTGGATTTTCAATAGTAGCAGTTAACAAATATTTTCTGGTTGTTTACTGATATTGCGGACCCTCCGGGATCCGCTCGTCAATTTCATTTCAATTTCTTCGAGACTTTTGCCCTTGGTCTCAGGCACGAAGAAAATAACAAACAATAAGCCTCCTATACAAATAACAGCAAATAACCAAAGTGTTCCATGCATATAGATAGCGTCAATAATGTTTTGGAATGTTTTCGTAACAATAAAAGTGCATGTCCAGTTGAAGCCAGTTGCCAATGACGCAGCCGTACCTCTAATCTTTGATGGTAAAATTTCTCCTAACATGAGCCACGGAATCGGTCCGAATCCGATTGAGAATCCCAACACGTAGATAACGNAAATAACAGCAAATAACCAAAGTGTTCCATGCATATAGATAGCGTCAATAATGTTTTGGAATGTTTTCGTAACAATAAAAGTGCATGTCCAGTTGAAGCCAGTTGCCAATGACGCAGCCGTACCTCTAATCTTTGATGGTAAAATTTCTCCTAACATGAGCCACGGAATCGGTCCGAATCCGATTGAGAATCCCAACACATAGATAACGAGGCATGCGAGTGGCAGCCAACCGTAAGCTGTGACGTCAATGTGGTTCTGCTTTAAGTAGAAATAGGCACCTAGTGCTAAGAGTGTCGTGATCATCGCTACCGATGAAATGTACAGCAACACCTTTCTTCCCAGGCGGTCGATGAGCATGGTCGCTATGAATGTTGAAATAAAATTCACTACTCCAATGATTATACTGGCCAAGTTTTCGTCGACGCTGCTGCCAGACATTTGGAAAATACTTGCTGCGTAGAATATAACAGCGTTGATTCCACTCAGTTGTTGGAAAAGCATCAATCCCAAAGAAATCATAACAGCTGGCAAATATCTTTTACTGATTAACTGTTTGAATGCATTTCCGCCAGTTCTGTCCGATTCGGTTTGAGATATTGTTAAATCGCGCATTTCCTTCTCAATGTTTACATTCTTTCCTCTTAACCAGCGCAGAGATTTGCGTGCTTCTTGGACGCGTGCTTTAGAGACATACCAACGAGGTGTTTCTGGGGTTAGAAGCATAAGCAGGAAGAATGGCACCGGTATTGCTGCCCCAAAGAACGCTAAATTTGACCAATCCAGATACGATCCTACCAAGAAGGCCAAAAGTATTCCTGTATTACCGAACGCGGTTGGCAGAAGACCCAAAGCTCCTCTCACCTCCGGTTGAATAGTTTCTCCAATGTAGACTGGAAATGCAAGAGATACGATTCCCACACACACCCCGCATAAGACCCGGCCAGCAAATACCATCACAACGTTAATTGCGTTAGCGATCAACATCCATCCGATGATGAATGGTACTGCTGTACCCATAATTGTCTTTTTTCTTCCTAGGTATTCGATCAGAGGTCCGCCAACAATGCCTCCGACCAAAGCTGCTAACGGCATAAGACCCCCAACCCATGTTATCTGGAAACAAAAAAAATATATTTAGGTGTTGTTCTTCATTGAGATTAAAATGTGAATTAACTAATAAATTTTATACTATCTTTCAATACTCTAAGCGGATTGAATTTATATATTTTTTCTCTCAAATTATCTAACGTGTAATTAAAATACGAATAAAAATAATGTATATATTTAATATTACAAAGTTTTGCTAGGTTATTTAGCTCATATTAGAAAATAACTTATCGTTCATAATAACAATTAATCCGCAATAAAAATATCAGTTATCGGATCCATATGTAGAACTTGTGAGAAATGTTCAAATCCTCTGATTAATTGGATAACTTTTGTATAATATGTAAATCAATAGGCTTAAAGTAAAACAAATGTAATCATTTGAAACGACTAGGCTAATTCTTAGAGCTTTTATAATATTTTCTGGTGGAATTGTGATTACTCTGTTTCTATTCTTGCGGGAAAGCGAGTATGATATTCGAATTTGTTTGGCTGATGCAATAATGACGTCATTATTCAACATGAGATGCACTCTTCTTCTTCTTCTCAGTCGTGTCACTCTTGACAGAGTGGTCATGATCATCATGTAGTGTTGGAAGGGGCAGACTTGATGCGTCTCACGATGTCGCGCCATCTCTCCCTGCTCGAGGCCATTCTACTGAACTCATTTAAGGGACCTCCCACTGCAGTTTTAATTTGGTCGGTCCACCGCATTGGTGGCCTCCCGCGCGGTCTTGTACCATCAACGCTTCCCTGTACAACGAGGCGTTCTATGGACCGGCCATCTCGTCGCGAAACGTGTCCGAAGAAATTCACCATTCGAGACTGTACTATATATACCAAATAGACGCTGCTTGATGCCGAGTTCCTGTACTTTACTCTTAGTATTTTGTAATTTGGTTCGATAAGTTATTTTTTGTTTCGACAAACGTTATGGGCGAAAAGTCAATCCTAATCTTATATTGGTGTTGTAGAAAAGCAACTGTAAACTTACTTCTTCCTTTGTTATGTCCAAAGTTATATTCATTGTTAGCACAGCAGGTGATGTGTACCCAGACGAAAATCCGACATTCATTGAACCGACAGAAACTGCAAACGCTGCAAGAAGCTGTAATAAAACACCAAAAAAACTATTATAATATTATTAATTTTCAATGATAGAAAATCAACATACACGTGGACGCAGCCGTATGCTAACTTTGGCTTATGGTTTCGTTTGTAATAGATACCTATTTCTATTCTAGATTATTAGTTTCTTAAAAACTGTTTACAACGAATAATTAAAAAAATAATTCGTGAACATGGTTGCGTTCCCTGAGATTTGTTCCCACGGGTAGCTTTTCAAATTTCAAACTGATATTAGGTACATAAATACTTAGTACACACTGAACCAAAATAGTTATTAATCTATAAGTTGTTTTGTTTATGAGTTTTAATAATCACTCAACACCACCAGGTGCTCGTCTGTCCATTAAAACTATAATAAAAATACGGAAATTATTTTACCTGCGTCCATAGAAACAGTTTCTGAGTTGTAGATTTGTACGGTGTTGCATCCTCGTTATCGTATTCCGTCTTAGTTTTAACGCTGTCTGTGCTTAATTGCCTAACGAATGGAACAGAATTCCGCAAGTTCTCGTCCTTGATTTCCATTTCCATTTTGTATTTGAATTCGTTTCCTAAACTGATCTGACGTAGTTGTTGAAAGTGACGACGAGTTTTCTCGAAAGAATCCTGTTCGTCTTCGCTGCTACTCTCTGTGGATACGTGTTCCGGTATCGGATCGTAGTTAGTGGGCACCAGAGTACCCTGGGATCCACATGAAGTTGCGAGGGAAGTGCTGGTTGTTGACGCTGAGAGCGTTGGTTTCGAAGGCACCCGGGCGTATTTGGGACCACGAGTGCGGTATAACCGCTCTTCATCCCCTTGTGCGTGACGCGTTTGTTCGCTTCCACCCTGGAATTAAAAAAAATGTTAACTTTTAAACTGTCAAACACCTAACTGATACATTTTAACATTACACGCCAATTTAATAAAATCGACTGGTCGCTCAAGTGTGCTCTGGACGATCGATACTAAAGTAATCATTCGCAAACATACCCCATTTATTATATCCACTATCTTACGTACGTAAGTTTGCTATGACGATAAGAACAGTGAACCGAGGGGTTCGGAGGTCAGCCAGAGAGACTGAGTATTGTTTGTTAATTGCAAGTAGGCAGTCATATGGTCGTCGCATGCAATGATAACCTAGTTATTTACGTACATACTACCATGACCTGATCCGTTATGAAAGTTCTTTTTTACGCTAATAATTTAACTCTAATCATATAATATACCTACTACAACCCATAATCAAAATTTTGTAAATAATCTCATACTTGCCTTAACATAAAATAGTGATACATATATTTTTATTTCTTATACATGTTTTCGAAAGCTCTGTAAGTTTTCTTAAAATATTTCATTTCTCTCCTTTTATGATAATTAGGGTACCAACCCATGTGGGCTGACCAGAGGCCCAACGATTGCTCCAGTAGTACATCGTAATATTCGTAGATAATAAAACATATATTTATTAATATAATTATTTTGAGAAGATGAGTGACATAGTGGCATTGGATTTCTCTGAATAATATTTATGCGTTTTTTAGAAATAAAAACGTATGACTCCATCAATTCACAGTATTTGCGAAAGTAACGTAGTTATTATGAAAGCTCTATTTTAAAATTTTAATCGTGTTTTATGTCGACTAATATTTAATTTTAAACAAAATTGTGTGACTCCCCAGATATCACAAAATCACATTTCGAAATGACAGGTCTACGATCTTTGTAAAGCAGATAAAATAATTTTGATTTTATTGTTTTCTTCTACATTCTTCCTTCAAAAGAAAGATTTCTTTTCGTTTCATACTCGATGGTTTTTAAACATATAAATTTATCAGTTTCTTTGAACATCTATTTTAGATGTTTTTCTAATCATAATAAATGTGTAATCATTATACTCTCGGAGACCTCGACTAACAAATATTCTTATAGGTATTATTTCCGAGACGTATTTATTTGTTGTTTGTTGTTATTTTTGTTGTTGTTAATAAATACAATCGTTTGTAATTAATGCGTACGCAACGTAACACAATAAATACAAATGATGAGCAGGGTCGACGGCCGACGTTCGAAACCCTTCGTTTCGCCTTGAAGGATTCGTTGGCCGAACAGCCTTGGGGTGAGCCGCGCGTCTGGTTCCAGTGTTGACTGTGGTAACCGCGTTATGCCGCCCGGGTTCTGACCTCGGGGGATCGGGCGCTTGAGTGAGATTGCAGGGGATTCGTTGTGTAGGGGGCCCTAAATACCATCCTTGCGATCCCCGATCCCAATATCTACGGAATGTCGAGTGCCACATACCTCACGCGCCTTCTAGGCGGGGGCTCGTAGGAAGTTCAGCCCCCCGCCCAAAAATAAAAAAGGGGTCAACGGTCACGTGTGATGCGGAGAAGTATCCGCCAGTTACCGCTTCGCTATCGATTATTGGTTGACGTATTACTAAACGACGCGGATTGCGCCAACCTCCAGTTTCCAAAGTAATTTCCATCCAAAGATTGGCTTGGAAGTGATCGCTTCCAGCGATAAATCCGCCCATTGTACTTTAGTTTTAATTTAATTTTTCTATACATTGTCGTTATTTTGGTGTACCTAAGTCTAATAAACTATATAATATCTTGTATTTTAATTAATATTCAAAATTGAATGAATTCTATCCATCCAAAATTCTCAATGCAATATTTGTCGATAAACCAATATCATTGACGTGCAAGGCTAACCTAGACATCACTAACAAGCTACTAATAAAGCGGTGCTGGATACACTAACTACATCTATAAATGACTTGGAATACTGAACAATAGCCGATGCTGAAACACTGCCACAAGTGAAACGTTTGTTAATATTATAGCGGTAATATTATTTCTAGAATAGTGTCTCTCTACTTTCAGTCTGAAAGTTGTTTTCAGCGCCATCTATTAGAACTGTATAAAACTATATAGTTTTCCATTCAATAATGATTATGTTTACATATTGATAGTTCCAGTGGACAACGTAACTTAACCACGTTTTAATGTAACTCAAATTCCGCACCGACAGCGCTCATGTCAGCCAAATTATTTTGCATCTCGAACTTGAATTCTATAATGGAATTTTCCTGAATTGATTATTTAGTAATTTTGTTCATAATTACCGAAATAATCTATGAATACTGTAGATTAATATTGTAAATTTATTGTGTTATATGCTAATGCTTTGAGATTATTTTAGTATTGAATTGTTGAATCGAATGCTGGAGTTACAACTGGTTCGAAGCAGGCTGGCCTTGCAAGGCCTTGTTAATTCCAGTTATCTGTTTTTGGTAGAATGCAACTATGATCTAGAATAATTACACACAAATTTCCTTGCAGTCGTAGACTTCGCGTTTTGATTAAAACACAGGAAATTATATTCGTTTAGTATGCACGTCATCATACATAATCTGTATTAAAAAAATAATGATCAGTATATTATCATAGCGGGTTGCTAGGCAACCGATAATTGCAACGACAGGCCGCGAATTTTCTCCAGAGCTTTCTAGCGTTCAGAATTTTCCGGAAAGATTTATCTAATAATTTCACCCCTACACAAACACTTTCATTAATACCCAGTAAAANTATATTCGTTTAGTATGCACGTCATCATACATAATCTGTATTAAAAAAATAATGATCAGTATATTATCATAGCGGGTTGCTAGGCAACCGATAATTGCAACGACAGGCCGCGAATTTTCTCCAGAGCTTTCTAGCGTTCAGAATTTTCCGGAAAGATTTATCTAATAATTTCACCCCTACACAAACACTTTCATTAATACCCAGTAAAACAGCGGTAACCAGTCCGAAAATAACCTCAAAATCGTAGTTAAGCACCAACAGACCATGTTTTTTTGAATTATAATTTAATTTACTTACCATTTCGGTGGAGAGCTGCTTGAGGTATCCCATGATCTTCCCCACGGCATTGGGGTTATTTTTATTGAAACTCATCTTGTCTGCTGTGTTCAGCGAATTTCCGTTTTCTTAATAATCAAAGAACGTGAAAGTGTAAATGTCTATAAAAACTATTATCTTTCCCGATGTTCTATAAAAATTACCGACAAACGAAGCACATCGTTTACAGTCAAAGCTGATCGCCGCACTGAAACGTAAACTAAGCGAAAGGCCGCGACTCGACACCGTTTAACCGTCGGCACGTATTTAAATGTGTACACAAAATGAATGTTCTAATCGGTTTGTATTTCCCGCTTTCGTCCCGCAAGGGCGCACAACATTGAATTCAACAAGTCTGTCCGACACACCGAAATGTTGGCAGTGTGCACCGAATTCTTCAGAGCTCAAGTTATCTATTGAAACTTGCAGATGGCAGCGTAGTGTTTTATATAGGAAGGTTGGCAGTGTCGGCGCCGTTCACCTCGCCCTGCGCCCCTGTGCACACCCGCGGCTCCCCTCTTGTCGGTGCTTGCTGCATGTGTGTGTATTAAGGCTCGTCGGTGTGCACTGAATTCACACATACTCGCTACGTCATTTTACACCTCACCTGAAAATGTAGATGTAAAATAAATTTTGCAACTCCACTAGCCGTGAAAATGTTTCCCGGCCGTTTTAGGGCATCCATGTTGTTTATTCTATGAGCTTCGGTTACCATTTGATCCGAAGGCGATTAGTTTGTTTAAGAACCGTGAAAAAAAAAATCGTATTAAAAATTAATTTTATTACCAACTTAATAATAACATGAAAAATATGCGCAAAATATTGAGTATACACTACACATATACTATATTTAAGGTTATTGTTTCCTAAAAATATTTGACTAAACATATTGTTTCATTTTGTTTTTGGCGTGAGTGTTAGTTTCTGTTTTCGCTTAAAAATATTTTTTCAGCACGTGATTTCATAAATGCGTCAATTGGGTAAACGACTCGTGTCATACAGAAACTCTACGTACGCGATCGTATTATTAACATACAACCGTGCGCCTGCGATCGTGATTAAAGACTTTTTAATTGAATCATGTGAAGTTTTAATTAAGTGCAGTAGCTAGTACAAGTTTTGAATGTTTACACAATTACACGCTTAGAAATTTCAAACAACTTAAAGAATTTTAACACCACAAATATATGAGTCGTCTATTATCAAAGGTGGCAATCTGTGCATTTGGACAAAAAAATGTTATTGATATGTCAATACAGATTGATTTGAATATAATCGTCTCCTTCAAAAAATACGGTTCAAAACCTGCATTAATTTATTTATCTAAGATGTCGTTCCGAAGAGTTTTGTGACTGCCAATGGAATACAAAGTCAATAATTCGTTTTTCTGATTTACCAATATTGTTCAAAAGTCAGATTGCCGGCTTTGATAATAGACGACTCATATGTATGTTTATCAATTGAGTGTCCAACAATTGTGGAATAATAATGAAATTGCTTCTGGTCCGGTATTAATTCGGTTTTAACACTTTCAACATACACTCACACATATATATTTTATGTATACATTACACCATACCAATGCACCACGAGCTCGACGCGTTATCGGCCGACCTTCACTGTCCTTCATTCATGAGCAACGTCTGGAGGTGTGTCTCATACAGAATTGTACAGTTCGACATATTATTATTATAATAGGGTAAACCGTACTGTTATTGCCACTCCCCCGGCTAGTGATCGGATGAAAATCCCACAAAAACGGTTCCTTCAAATCTATTTACCTTAATTATTTCTTTTGGTTGAAGGTTATTTTATCAGCAGCTGGTATTTAGTTTATAACCAAGGCCGTTACCATTTGATGTCCGAAATTTGTGGATGAGATGTGAAAATAGAAGCACAGTAAAATAAAAGAATCCTCTTAAAATTAATAAATGTTAGATTTATTTGAGAAGAACCGTGGTAGTTTTACAAAAAACCTTAATAATAACCTAGTGCATAACTACCTCATACACTATTTCCAGTGCTCGTAATATTATTATGCTTCAGTGTTAGTGATTATACCAAATCGTAAGAATACAAATGATTATATTATTATATATACTCTATGATAATATATCTTATGTTTGAATCGGTAGAAATGCATTGTTGATTCACACGATACAATATGTATTCGTGACGTTCAGCTATGCACTCATACAAGACACACCTCCGAGTGTAATATGCAAGCTAAATGCGATATGAACTGTACATATATTATACTATAAATAAATGTTTTTGTTATTTAAAGAAGTGACGCGTCACTTTGGCGGGTGCGGTTTTGTGGTATCATTTATCTTGATAAAGTATAATATTGTTATAGACAAACCACTCAATTGTTCGCTTAAACATCCAACGTGTCTAACGCTATAATATTAAGATTGTATTGACGTAATGACACCATTTAGATATGCGAGTAATATGCTGACGGGATTTATTTTGTAAAGCTAAACTAATACCAATTTCTTAAAAATATTTTTTTAAAGACAAATTGACTGAATCTGATTTTTTTGATAATAATGTTAAATTCATTAATAAAAAATGAAGAGATCATGTTGTTGTTATATTGGGTTAATAACTGAGTGGGTTAGATCGAGGTTCGTCATGAATAAACGCGTGGTCTGCGTCACGTGCGCTCGAAGCTGTGTTTATATTAGTCCCCGAAAGCTCTACATACGTCGCGGCAACGGCGCGGCGGCGGCGTGCCGACTTCACATCGTGGCCTCGGGTTCACATAAAACGTATCATAACAATCTAACGGAACATTGACGGACGGGGCAATAATTGTTCACAGTAATAATGTCAGCGCGATGCAGCTGTACATCACTCGCCAGTTATTGCATATCCATCGTGACAAATATACTTTAATTATTTGGTTGCTTGAAAATTAATTAACACGTAGACTTGAGATATTAAATTAAGAACACCGCGGGATGTTCGTTTTTTTTTTTTGGGTTGAAGGGGATTGCCAGATGAATTGACATCTGCAAGCATTACGTTGTTACATATTAGATATTAGCTATGTGAGTCTGGAACCGCAATAAAACTACTAAGTCGCAGAACTGAACCCGAGGAGAATATAATAGGATCTGAACGCTGGGACCGCAGGCCGATAGTTTTTTACTGGCGTAGATGGGAAAACGAGCGCGCGGTGCCCACTGAGTTTCTCGCCGGGTCTTCTCAATGGGTCGCTTTTCCGACCCGGTGGTAGATTCTGCGAAGTACTGCTGCTGCTAGGGCTAGTGTTAGCAACGTCTCCAGGCTTGAGCTCCGAGAGCTCACCTACACGTTAGGGTTACGCTGACATAGCATCTGAAGGCTATCAGCTTAGGTAGAAAAAAAAAATAAAAAAACAAGAGCGCACGGACTGGTTGATCGTTCCATGTACCTATACCACGAAGTGAATGCTCATGTGATGGCGGCTGGTCAAGACGACGGTACCGACCTATGCAGGATTATAACTACCAATAGGACTCACCACACGTCACTCAAGCTCCTCCCTAAAGTCTCAGGTAGAGAGATAAGGCGGGAATAACTTGGGAATAAGGGAAAGGTTGATGATAGGTAGTGGCAGTAGCACAAAGAAGGCCAGGGGCCGTATAGCATCAAATCATAAATGAAAAACTATTGAAGAGAGAAATAAGAAACAGTAAATGCTTTACAGAGCTTTTTTGGTTGTGAACGAGGTCCTTAATTTTGCCACGCAATCACTTAGTTCTCTTAACGAACGCGCAGTGACACGCAAAGCACACCAATGCAATTGTGTAAATCAACAACCTCCAAGCATGTGTTTGTAGGAATACATTCACACACACATATACGGCAAAGAATCAAAAATGTTAGTGGAATATTACCCAGTACAGGGCCGCCATAATGCATAGGCTTCTCGAACGTTCCTCTTTGGAATGTGCAGCCATGGAGCACGAACGCAAAGCGTAGGGTTGCCATATTTCTGTTGGAATAAGAGTGTTTATTCGTGTGTCGATATGATAAAAATCGACAGTGGAGAAGAAAGATGGATAGATAATACCTTTAATTTTTACACGCTTTCTGTTAATGTGACTATAATTGTACTTTTTATTCGATGTTCATAATACATACGTATTATGAACATCGAATAAAAGCTTGAACAAAAATTTACCCACGTCTAATGATCATATCGTAGCTAATGACTCTACAACTTCGATCTGGGCTTATAACGAACCTCACTTGGACCATTATATTTGTTTGAATATTTTATAAATAAGTGTGTTCTTTTTTAGTTATTAAACTGCGTTTTTAGTTATTTCAAAATGCCCAGTTTTCATCAATAGGTATATTAGAAATATTACACTAGTGGGTAAAAAAATATTAATTTCTAACATTAGTTTTGTAGGTTCGCGGCCAACTTTCTACCTTACCAAACTATATAGTTATTTTAGTAATTTAGACGGGAATGGCCACAACACCCCATAGTAGAGAACATGTGGCAACCTTAGCAAATGATCACGACGCGAGCCACGTCGACTAGTGTAGCTAGTTTCTTTTATTTCCCAAAGCCGTACGTGTCGTTTTAATGTTTTTGAAAATGCATATTTAAACAGTGGTGGTGGTATAATTCACCACAATCGTTTTTATTTTGAAATTAATCAATAAATAGGACAACAAAAATATGTTCAACGATTTATCATTTTTTAGAAAAATAATATAAATCCCACTACACAAGTGCAGTTTCAATATTACATTACGGACAAACATTTAAACCAATTAATTGTAAGGTATGAACAATAATGGTCAACGAACTAGAAACAACAACAAAAAAGTATAAAAAACAAATTTTTTTTGAGTAGGTATTAGTAATTAGTATTATTATTTATAAAATAGGTACTATCCATAGCCTACCAATAGATATAATCAATATTTAGTGGTGTATCCCTTGTTTTCAATAACAGCACTGCAACGACGTGGTATTGATTCAATCAATTTCATACATTTTTCTAGGGGGACTGAATTCCAATAAATGCTTCATATAGTTCATTTTGACTGACTGGTTCTTTTTAACAATATAATATCAGAGATTTTCTATCGGGTTTAAATCCGGACTATTTGCTGGCCAGTCTAAAACGGATATACGCTGTTCGCTTAGGAAACATTTGATGCTATTGGCCGTGTGCTTAGGGGTCATTGTCATGCTGAAAGATCCAGGCTACAGGTAGGGAATCATTGTGTGCTCTAAGATATTTTTGTATTCCCATTGATCCATTAACCTTCAATCTTCCGAATGGCTTCAACTCCACAACCGGAAAAACACCCCTAAACTTTAATGTTACCGCCACCGTGCTTTTGACTAATACTCCTTGTGTATTTATAATGAAAACCATTGTTTACAGGACGTTTAACATAGCGCTTTCCATCGGAATTTACCATATCT